CTTGCTGGCCAGTACCACCAAACACAAACGGAAGGCAAACCCCTTCCTTACATTGATTACCTTTAGTACTAACAAACATTTTACATGAATGACCTTTGAAATATGAGCAACTTCATCTCTTAAACTGCACATTTAATGCACAACAACTATGAAATCCTTTTTAATAATTTACCTGAAATTGGTGAACTTCTGAAAGTTTCTGCTTGATGTCTCCATACCAATGCAAAACTTCAAAACACAACAGGTCATTGACTGATAATTGCTAATCCAGGCGCTACAACGTCTACAAAACCACAATAACATGTTTTATGCCGTGGCGACGTATCTTTTTAAGACTAGGCGGACCTAGTTCTCTTTTTACAGGTCAACCACATGGATGAGTGATCACGGTCGCGAATGCGAGAGAGCTAGGCCTAGACAAGTACTGTACTGTAAAATATCAACTCAAGTCAGTGTTTATTAACTTTTCACATAATTCTGAGGACCGCATTTCAGTGATCGTCTTTCCTAATGGTTGCCTTGGCCAGGGCCGCTGGCTGGATTAAGCCTGGGGCTAGGGTGGTTATACCTCGGCTTACCCTCTCTCTAGGCCTAGCTAGTAGTAGGTAGACTCGAGCCTAATAAGGCCTAGCCTAGGCCAGTATGTTCTGCGCGGGGATATGAACGTTGCTCAGGCTAGGTCTAGTTGAAATTCCAATCGCGCATTTTGAACACAAAGCCTGATTTCCGCAAAATTTTTGTTCATCAGTGACAAAACATTGTTGACAAACGTTATACAATGTTAAAATTATTATAATTTATTGGTGCTTAAAGACCTTGTTTATTTTCGCCTTACTTAGGCCTCGGGCCCTATATATCGACCTATAATACAATATCGAATTTTTTTCTTTTTCAAACACACACTACAAGTTTTCTTTTTGAGTTGAGCAACCAGTGATGTAGGTACACAGTGTACTACCATATTGATTGACGTTTCTGTAAAGCGCGTGTCTGTAAAGTTTCCTTGAAACCTATCTTTGAGCATGAAGAAAACAATGGTACCACTCATCGGCTTGCGTAAATTCTGTATTTAGACACAGGCTATTTATCGATGACAGTATTAATTATTATAAGAAAAATGATAATACTGAACTCTTTGCCTAGCTAATCATGTGCTAATCTAGTACTGTACATTGTTCGCTAGTCACACCACTCACACTTTAGGCGACTGCAATGAAAGTGCCAGTCTTGAAAGATGAGGGCCCCCACCCCCATGGAAAAAATGGAGGGCCTGTTGCCCCCTGGTCCCCCCCCTCAACTTCTGCCGCCGTTGAGGCCTATTGCTAACATAGCAAAACGCCAGAGCCTTTAGGTTATTGTATTGTACACAAAGAATATTTAAAAGCGTAGATACAAAAAACTGTACAGTCGTAATCCTTTGTAAAGAACTGAGGAAGACAGTGGCAGATTCAAAATTTAAAGGAAAAATTAAGAAAAATGATTATTATATTCAAATTTTAAATCTTGAGAACTGTGCCATTTCCGTGCCCTGTTTATAATTTTCTCACCTCAGCCCCAGACGCTCCATCTGTGAAAGCTCCTCTCTGGGCCCCTCTATTTCAAATACTCGGATCCACCACGGGAAGATGTCACCAAATTGTATATAACCCAGTTTAAAGTGGGTGTGTGGGGATCAAGCTTTCTTTAAATTTTATATGGAATGTAATACAAATTTGATATGCTCCTACTGGTAAATATTTTACAAAAGCCATTAAGACTTGTTTGTTTCTGATATACTGTATTAAGAGGTTTGATCGTTTTGGAAAAGTACTGTGTAAGTAAAATACTGTAAATGTATATTAGTATACCAAGTCAACCGGTGTACATAAAAGAATAGTTTATGCTGTTAGGTGTTTCAAACACTGAAACTTGTGGTCATCAACCTGAAGTGCATACCTGTAGTCAGTGTTCTGTATTGTCTAATTATCGTTTAATGGTTTACGTTCACAGAAAAATTAGAAAATGTCTAAACAGAAGTTATCACGTTTCAAGTGTGATGTCAAGGTGAAAAATCAAGTGACAATATCCAAGTTCTTTAGTCCAGTCAAATCTACAAATGATGTAGACTCTGCAGAATGCGATACAGATAGAACATCACCACAACCAAACAAAAGGAAATCGGTGGGTATTTAAACTAGACAAACCTCCACTCTGATTAAGAGACCACCAGAATAATTCTAAACCTTATGTTTAACATTGTAGAATACAATTTTATTTTTCGTTTGGAAGTGACATTAAAGCCATTGGTTCTAAGTGCTTCAGTGCTAATGTACACAGTCAGAAACTCTGTTCACTTATCAGAAAGAGAATTATGAGATTGTTCCCCTGTGCAGACCAGTCTACTGTGGTAACCTGTACAGGGAGAGAGGAATCATTATAATGGCACCTAATATGCGCAAAGCGTTGTTACCTCCTGCATTGATGTCAAAAACAAAATTTTCAAGCAAGTAAGATCATATAATTTATAATATATTGTGCTCTTATTTCTCAGATAGAAGTTCATTCACCTTTTTCAAAAAAACAGAAGACAGTAGCAAGTGGAGGTATTACATCAAACATCATTATTTGTAGATTAACTTTTTTTTTTATATTTTTAATTTATTTTAACCCATATTTCGTCGCTCACATCACGAACTAACACAATCAAAGTAGATTGTGTTAGTTCGTGAAATCAGAGTAGTGCGTCAAAACGAGCGCGTATTGTTGTCAAGCAATTTTGTATTCTTTACCACACAAAAAGTTGTTAACAACAACGGCGCGTATTTTGACGCGCTATCTTGATTTCACAATCAAAGTAGATTGTGTTAGTTTGTGATGTGAGCAACAATTTATAGGGTGACCCTTCCAGCACATCCTAAAAAGTCGGTTGATATTCAGGGCCCTCTTAAATATATGAAATGATGTGATGCTTTTACTAGCGAAGTCTCTTTATGGGGCAGGGAGTGGAATTGTTTTAGTCGTGAGAAAAAGTCCTGTTGTGACAGGAATTGAGCCTAGAACCCTCGGATTAGAAGGCAAGCATTTTAACCACTAAGCTATTCAACTCCACTCCACTTAACGTGCTGGCATAGGTTAGAATAGTTCACCTGAGTTGGGGTGTTCAAATTATTGCTTTCGGAGTACAGCTATATTTTGAATGAGATGCGACATCAAACTCATGCATGATAATATTTGATAACATTATCCATACTGGCTTCATTGTATGCACAGTAAGCATATTCACTATTTCATTTCATATGCAGATTCTGAACAAGGTGAAGTTAGCCCTGCCCAGCTTTCATCATCGACCATGAAAAAACTAAAATCTTTCTCTTCAAGTAACAAAGACAAGCAAACTGACGGCCTACAAGTTAAAAAGATCCGAACTACAGCAGCAAACCGGAAGTCATTGGTCCGCAATGACAGACCGAGTACTACTTCAACTAATCAAAAAGCATCGGCAGAAAGTCAAGAGAACCAGAAAAGTGTTAAGGGTGGTAAAAGTGGACGTGTGAAGAGCCAGTACACCCCCCTGGAACAGCAGTTCATGAAGTTGAAAGCAAAGCATGAAGATGCCCTGCTTCTTGTCGAGTGTGGATACAAGTACAAGTTTTTTGGTGAAGATGCAGAGGTACCTCCTCTTTAAATCAATATTTTAATTTAAAAGAATGTTACATCAGAAGACTTTTTTCGTTGCCCAATCCTGACCAACCCACATTTTTTTAAATTCTGAGCTGGTAATTTTTTTTGGGCAAAAAATATTTTTTATTTTTTTCTTAGCAAAAGAGCTATATAAAATATGTGTGTGGTATTTTAAAAATGCAAGTTTTCAGGCTATCAAGAACCACTATCTAGATTCTGTTAATACTACAAGAATCAGAAACTTAATGCTAATATTCATAGAATTATTGACATTTAATTATGGAAATTTAGTTGTTGAAATTTAATTTAACTTGTATTTAAGAATGAGAAATTTAAAATAAAGCATTTTTATCATGTTAGAACGAGAACGTCATTTCGACTTTTGAAAGGTTGAATGAAGTTTATCTGATATCTGTGTCTGTAATTTACTTTTGATACCCTAACTGTGGATTTTAATCCCTGTGGTTACCATTTCACTAATCAAAATGTATAGGGTGGGCCTATGATATTGCCAACTGACCAATCATAATAGCTCTGTCCACACTATCAAAATTATTTTTTTTAAAAAACTATTAAAAAAAATGTAAAAGAACCCAATTATTAAAAAAATTAAATAAAATATATGTGAAAAATGTATGGACATTATGATGTCACATTACACCTAACTATGGCAATATCACATTTATTGGTCACATACAATTTGATACTGTGGTCAGAGTTCATTATTAAATGTCAATGTGCTTTCGCAGCACAGCATTTTTTTGTCTATTTTTTTGCATAGTTTAAAAAGTAATAGCAAAGACTATAGAACTGGAAGAGGTACGACTATCGTGGTTTCGTTCGAACATAATCCTATTTGAAAAAGTACTGCCACGAAGGGGCGTGTCCTTAAAAATGAGTTTCGAGCGAACTCTATTCAAATTCTAATAGGGCGCCCCCTATCTCGTGGCAGTACGTTTTTTTTAACGTTCCATTGCGTGCATACAAAATCAAGGCAGTCAGACCTCTTACAATTCTATACTCTTTGGTAATATTAAAATAAAAATAGTAAATGAAATGATGAAGACTTTGTCAAGCTACTTCATACATTGACCTCCTTCCTGTTTGTACCATTCCTTATAGATTGCAGCGAAGGAACTGAATATCTTCTGTCACCAAGATCACAACTTCATGGTGGCGAGCATTCCTGTTCATCGGCTGTTTGTCCATGCCCGGCGCTTGGTTTCAAAGGGATACAAGGTTGGTGTGGTGAAGCAGACTGAAACTGCTGCCTTGAAGGCTGCTGGTGACAACCGTAATGCACCGTTTGCACGGGAACTATCAGCCCTTTACACGAAGTCCACGCTGGTTGGAGAAGATATCCTTATTGGTAGTCCTAAATGTTTCTATACCAAGTGTTTCCTATGGTAGTGATAATAGGTAATTCTCAATATAACCGTATTTATTCAAATAAACACCCCGCTTTGAATAAATGAGCCTCATTTGGAATAAATGCCTTCCTCAAATAAATGCCTGTAAACAAATCTAATGGATTGAGAATGTAATTCTCAATGTATTCTATTAATGTTCTACTCCATAGAATTACATTTTTTCTAACCTGGTTGGGATCAATAAGTCTTTATGATCACGCAATAACACATTTTGACTGGAATTATGTGTTGTTAGTTTCACATTTACAGTGAAGGGACGTTTATTTTAGTATATATACGTATCCATTTTACAACAAAAAATATAAGCACCTCCCTCAGATAAACGCCTCCTCAAAACCCTTCTCAACAAATAAACAACCGGGGCGTTTATTCAAATAAATATGGTAAATATTTTCTGCTTTAATAAAATGTTGATTTTCTAGAAATAATTTCAATATGCAGTAGAGTATTTCCTTGACAATAACAATCACATCTTGAGCCTGCAAGTGGCTCCTCGGAATGCATTGCTGCACCGCCATCGACATTTTTAATGTGCATATATGAAGTGGAAGAGTCCAGTAAATCAAAAAAGTCAGACAAGGTCCAACTTGCATTTGTGGTGAGATATTAATTTGATATATTATTTTTAACCATATTTTTGTTATGACATATTCATAAAATTGACATTTAATGTTTTTGATTTTAATCATTGTTTCGACAGGCTGTACAGCCTTCGACCGGTGAGCTTATTTATGATAACTTCTATGATGGTAGCGCTAGAAACGAACTAGACACATGCTTACAACACATCCAACCTGTTGAGCTGCTTTTACCTGTGGAACTATCACCTGCAACAGAGCAACAATTAAATAGCATTGTTCTGAATAGGTACAACGTTTATGTTTTTCATAGTGGTTTTACGCCTGTATTTTTAAAACAAACTTTAGTCGAAATTCGAACTAGAACTTCGTATAGTGCTAGTTTCAAATTCAACCTCAATTTGTATTCACAAAGAATGTAGTCGAAGTTTTAACTACGACTACATCAAGTCCTAGTTTTAGTTCAACTGAAGATGACTGGCAAGTAACAACTATCAAACTAACCAATGAAAAGAGCTAATTTTAATAGCAGACAAAATTTTATAGATCTGGTATTAATGCAGATGAATATTAAGCTGCCATCTGTGGTTCAAAAACGTATTTCCTCATAATTCATAATAGATCATCATTCGCCTAATTAATTTTCTATAATAATAACTATATTATTAGTTAACATATTACGATAGAGAATTTGAACAGACACTGAAAATTTGCTTTCTTTGGAGAACTATCATAGTTGAGTTGAGCGAGGGCGGCGCCATCTTTTTTGTTGTTATTGTAAAGCTACGTGACCGCAGCGAGAGGGGATTTCATGCAAATCAGGAACTATCACATGTGGCTGGAAGAAACATGTTAATTTCACTTTTTGAAAGCTAAACTTGATCAAACCTGCGTATACAATCGTTTTTATTCGTTTCACTTTATCATGAGTTACAAAAAACACGTTTTTAGTGGGGTAGATTTAGCCTGACTCTAGGCTGACTAAAAAAATCGGCCTGTGAAGGTATCATTTTAGTCGAGGTTCACGTTATTTAGTCACAGTGCTAGTTGAAGTTCGTTTAAGAATACGAAATGATGTAATTTTTTAAGTTTTAGCTCGAACTATGCTAAATTTCATTTTAAGAATACCATGGTTAATGTCGTAACAAGGTAGTGATTTTTTTTTTGTAGGCAAACAAGCTCGTAAACTGTGCCAGCATTGGTTTTGAATTTTTGATTCAATTTTAATCAAATCAAAATTTGAATGAAAAAATGGTCATATAAAAATCTTGGCTGGCCCAGATTCCAACCAGCTGCAGATAGCATACGTTTTACTTATAATCTACATTATTAGGTTGTGGTGCCACATACAAAAAATATACATCTTAATGACTATAAAACATTTCTTATCACTTCTATTGTCATAAATCAAATCATCTAAATTGTACATCAATAATACGGTAAATGGCAAAAAAAGCTTACTTGTTTAGTTTTTGCCTTAGAAATTATAAATTGAAATTATAACAAGTACTTAATTATAATAATGATCATAGTATGATATAAATAACTGTAAGAAAAAATAAAAATAAATAAATAAATAATAATACTAATAATAATAATAATAATAATAATAATAACAATGATAACAACAACAATAATAATAATACAAATGACACAGATGTGCTATAAATAAACTATAAATAGAATAAATTATGTCCTTATAATTATATAACTTAATTTTCTAATTAGGTAAAGTTTAACTTCAAAAGTAAAAGCTTTTCTTTAATGAGATAAAACATAGTATGTAACTGGTCATTTTTAACAGCTAACACTGTGGACAACTTACAGGAATCTCTAATACCTTGTTTCCTCTTCAGCACAAAAGGTGATGATCGTATTCGAGTGGAACGTATTCAGAATGAAAAATATGCATATGCAGATGCGTTAAAGGTGATCACAGAATTTTACAAAGACGAAGGAAAAGGCGAGTCTAGCTGTCATATAGTTTTAAGAAGAATATTAGAACAGCCCTTGCTCTCAGTTGTCATGCTACTGTTTTTAAAGGATTCTGTGGACTTCATCTACTGTTTAAATACTTTATTTGGTGTTGAGCTATAGCTTGGATCAAATAGAAAAAAATCAATTTACAAAGTTGTTATTACAATTTACAAATTCAATAATTAGATTTACAATTTCAAATAAACCCAAAAAAAAAAAACCAATAAGATATTTAACTTTGTCTTCCAATCTTCCAAAAAAAATTCATTTCTCATAAAGCTGTGATAGTTGATCAAGAAAACAGCTATTACCAGTACGTCCTTGACAGAACCAATTTCCCTGCTATACTGTGTTGCTTGATTCAGTCTTACTTTTTCTAGCGTAGGAGGGAGTGCTCTTCACGATGTATTAAAGCTTCATGAGTCTGTGATCTCCTGTCTAGCAGTTGTTCTAGGTTACCTCAAAGAGTTCAAGTTGGATCGTGTTCTCTCGCTTACACGGTAAGACAATCTTGTTGCCTCTAGGCGTGCTTAACCTTTGTGGTTGTTTATGTGCCTTATTTGTTATTGCCTTAGATACAAAATCACAATTTATCGTTTAATATCAACAACACGACACGTGTATTGATAAATTATTGTGTCATTTTGGGTATCTTCTTTTTTTTTGTGGATGTATAGCACTTTTTATGAATGAGCTAGAGTTAATTACAGTTATTATTGTTATAGTTATTTATTGTTATTACCCAGTAGGCTGATTGGGTTCTGTTTCTGAGCAGTTTCTTTCTTTCTGGCAACATTTTAAAAGGCTACCAGTGGCAAGCTACTTTCTCAAAAATAACGTAGCACAGTCTTGTCCATTGCACATATACATTGGCATAAGGCAGAGTCTATAGGGTGTTCAGGTATAAGTGGTAAAAGGTCATTAAGCAGTAATTTTTATCTTTTTTCTGGCAACATTTCAAAACGCTACTAGTGCCAAATGGTTGTGCCGATTTCAACCAAACCTGGTCAGTATAACCGTTGACACCTTTCATACATGGGGTGTTCACTGCTTGGGGTCAAAGGTCACATAGGGGTCATTAAGGTAAAAACTTTCAAAAAAATGAATAAAAGACGACTTCTGTCACAAATAACATAGCACAGTCTTGTCCTGGGCACATATGTATTGGCATAAGGTAGGGTCTTTATGGTGTTCAGCGATTTAGGGTCAAAGGCCATTAAAGAGTTATTCTTTTTTTCTATCTGGTAACATTCCAAAATGCTACTAACGGCAAGTGATTGGACCAAATTCAATCAAATTTGGTCATTAAGAACCAGCGACACCTCCTACACCCCTGTGTCTGGGATCAGTGGTCAAATGTCATTGGGGTTAAACTTTCAAAATAGCCCAATTAAGCTCAAATTTACCAGGAATGATCCTTAGGACCTTCTAAATACGAAAAAATACTCTTCACCCCCATATGTCAAAGTTCATATTAGGGTCATTTTGGTGAAAATTATCGAATATTGCTAGTGCCTATCACTGTAGAAGTAGAGGCCTAGGCTACCTAAACTTACCTTGAAAGCAGTATTCTTCAGAGTAGCAATACATTACATTAATTCTTCAATTATTACATTATATTTAAATGTATTTTTAACTGCTTCTATGCCATTCTTTTGAATACAGTATAAAGAGGAATCAGTCAATACTTAAAATTAAAGCTTAATCATATTTATATTTAATAAACTAACATTTAGCAAATTTTTTGCATGGCCATCAAGCAAACATGCTTTACATACGATAAATTCGGTTGGAAATTCCCAAGCTTAATTCAGTACTTAACCAGGTGAAAGTCTATTATATGTAATATTTCAACACGTGTATTAATCGTAAGTAAACCAGGTGTGTATACCCCGCCGCAAAATGAACCTTCAAAAACCGACCACTACTCGTGCGCATGCTTGCTTCTCGCTGCACCAATAGGAGAGCAGGCAATGCTCTGCAGGTAGTTTGTATGCAACGAAGATCAGGATGAAGATACAAAGATCAGTTATAAAATGAAAACTAGCATATTTGTTTTATATGATGGGTTATTCTCTATACCTAAATTCCGCAAGACATTTATTTTACAATTACTGTACGTATCTTACAATACAATTTAATTTACTGTATTTAAAGAAGAACTAACAAAACCTGAAACAGTGCTTAAACAAATGTTAATGATATATAATTAAGATAATTATATATCATTAACAATAATCAGTAACCTTCCTTACAGGCAAATGAATTATATATCATTAACAATAATCAGTTACCTTCCTTACAGGCAAATGAAAGAGTTCAGTAGTAGCGTGGAGTGTATGAAATTGAATGCATGTACTATTCGAAACCTGGAAATATTCCAGACACAGGTATACTCATTTACTTTTCAGTTTATTTTTTGTTATCTCCGTCAGGTAGTTATGGTTTCATCCCATCTGTTTGTCCGTGTCTGTCTGTCCATTTGTTGGTATGTCTGTCGGTCTGTTTGTCTGTTAGCAAGATTACGCAGAAAATAGGGAAATGATCTTCATAAAATTAGTGGAGTGGTACATAATAATCTAAGAAAAAGATTATTAATTATTTGGCAGAAAAGGTGAAAGGTCAAGGTCACAGGAATTCAGTTACATTTTTTTTAGCCTTGAGCAGAAAATAATGGAATTGCCCATCATATACGGCTTCCTTTTTGTTCGGTATTTAGGCACAGGTGGGGGGGGGTGGAGGGATGCACTCTATGGAGTGACCCTCTAGTTTTCAACATTTTCATTTCCTGAACCCAGGACTAAGGTATCATCAATTTTTATCATCATCATCATTTATTATTTATTTTCCTTTTTTCTGTTTAAAACTCAATTCTATTACTTAATTAATATAACATATAACATTATTATTTGCAGAGTGAAAATAGCAGAAAAGGCAGCTTAATTTGGATATTGGACAATACATCAACCCTCTTTGGAGCTCGTCTACTAAAGAAGTGGATAGCAAATCCACTTACAAACATACAGTAAGAAAATTGTTTTCTTCTATATTACTGTATGTTTTCTTATTTTTGTTGAAAGCAAGCTTCAAGTGTATTACATTAAATTATTCCAATACCATCAATGTATGTACAACGAAACCTCAATTTTATGAGATTTGATTTTACAGATTCTAAATTTAGAGTAAGGATGTAGTGCAAGTTGAGCTTCATCTCATCCTGGATTATATCTATGTTTATTTTTGTTTGTTGTATTTAAGATCAATTAAAGAAAGACAAGGGTCAATTGTAGAATTACTAGATGAGGACACTCCTCTTGCTATAGCTGTGAAGGAGATACTCACCAAGACACCTGATCTTGAGAAAGGCCTTTGCTCTATCTACCACAAGAAGGTACGGTAGCTGAACCAGGCTGTTCATATCACCACATTAACAACTTTTGGTCTGTGATACAAATATTATTTATTTATTCTATTTGAATATTTAAAAGAAAGTGTTAAATTTGATTTTATATTGATTTATACATACATATATATATTATTATTATTATTGTTATTATTTTGTGTTGATTAAATGTTGAAATTTTTAAATTTATGTTGATTAAATGTTTAAATTTTCTGTTGATTAAATGTTTTGGATTTCTTTTAATTATCTTTGATTGCAAACCAGTTAGTCTGTTATGTGTGCCTTATTCTAATGTAATGGTCAGATTAACTGGAAAGAAACAATAACAAATGTAAAATAAAAATTTAAGACACTCTTATAATACAATAAAAAAAGGTTTTGTGTTAGCTCCTTTTTTTGCTTTATAAGTCTAAAATTATTATTATTATTATTACTTTGGCTTTTATACGTATAAATATCTTGAAGATAATTGTACTGTCAGAACACAGTACATTAAAAAATAAAAGATTAACACAGTATATTATCGACACATGATATATACAAAACATTCTGATAACAACATTTAAATATGCCAAAAGTACATTCCACTCTACTAGGTACCCACTTAAACATCTACAGTTAGTAGTGAGAAACAACATTGATAAAGTGCTTTGACCAAAAAAACTTTAACCCCTAATTTTTTATTATTCAGCTTTACTGCTATGGCAAACTTATTCACAGGTGTGATCATAAAATCACTTTTTTTTGCAGTGTTCCACATCTGAGTTTTTCAATATTGTGAAGGCACTCAGCAATATAAATCAAACTGTATGCACCCTTACATCCAACAATGAAGGAAGCTTTTTTATAAAGTCTGAACTCTTGACGACAGTTGTCACAGAGATTCCGAAACTGCTAGAAAATGTACATCAGTTTTTATGTGCACTCCATGAAAAATCTGCCAAGTAGGTATAAAATGTCTTCTTTTTTTTTTTAACTTTTTGATGCACCATACATGCCAATGGGTATTTGTTGGTTGAAGAACCAAACCAGCTAACATTTCTGAAATATGTTTTAAGGGATTTGCAGAATATAAACATAGCAATGAGATTGTGTCTATTTCATGAAATCTTGCGTGGATGAACGAAAGCCAGATTCCTAATGGAACTTACCCGCCAAAAATAATGTAATGAAACCGAGGGTTTATATAACGCATCAACGTTATGTAACAAGCCTCAAATTTCCTTTCACCGTGAACGAGTATAGTGGAATTACCTAGTGAAACAAAGAGATTGTTCTAGAACAAATCCACATGCTTTCGTTGTAGTTTTTATTTGAAGCCTTTATGTATTCCCGAAAGTCTTCCTGCTCTGTTTGTGGTGGGCCTAGGCCCACTACATATCAAGTGAAATTGTATTTCATAGAGCGTACAGTTACAAGTGGTTAAAACGAGTTATAACTAGTAAATACCAGTTAGAACTAGGGCCTCAAAGATGAGACCTACTGTAAATGGATATGTTTGCTTTGATATACTAGCCTTTAAAGCTACAGTAATTAAAATGTAACTGATCCTGTATCCATTTCAAAAATTGCTTTGGTTTCCATCGCGCTGTGTTTTGTGGTGTTCAAATCAAAACATAAAAAATCTAATAATGTTATATGAATATACTACTGTTATTATTATCTCCTAAAACTTTATATTGTTTTTTTTTTTCTTTATCCACTGATATTAGAGATGGTAACAAAACTACCTTGTTTGTGGACACCTCAAAGTTTGAAGATGTGAAGAAATGTGAGAAGGAAATTGATGAAGTTTATAAATTGCTGAAGAAACATCGTAAGGAGATTCGTGAAGAACTTGAAAATCCCAATGCAGACTACATAACAGTTTCTGGTAATGAGGTATGCAAAGGAAAACTATATAATTTATATTTGTTTTTATATATATTTATTATTTAATTAGAGTTAAATGCCTGCTAATAATTGTCTTCAAATATTATGTTTTCCTTGTAGTTTCTGATAGAAATTCCAAATAATAATTTGATGACTGTTCCAAGAGATTGGGAAAAAATTAGCAGGTGAGAGTGAATGATATTCAATAATAATAGTAATAATAATAATAATAATAATAATAATAATAATAATAGTGTAGATTTGTATAGCGCTAGTCTCCATCAAACATTAATAACAATAATAACTTTATTTCATAAAGCGTAAATATACTGTAAATCCTTGATTTGAAGCCCTGAACTTTGGATGGGCTTCTTTTCGAGATTTGCATATTTTCGAGTCTACTTTTGCAAAATGAAGAGAGGGGGCTTCTTTTCAAAATGATTGCTGTAAATTTTGTGAATTTGTAATATGAAACAATAAATAAGTCACCGTAACATCAAGCTATATCATAGAGTGTATTTAACTGGCGCTAAATCACCTAAACTACTGTATATACCAAGCTTGTTTTTAATTTATTTTGTTTTTTCAAATTCATGTGCTTGTTTAGTTACTGTATCGCCCCTAAGAGTCTCTTCGTGTCTATGCCACCCGGTAAACCGGTATCAGCAACTCTCACCGTCCTGGTCCACCACTGGGGCTGTATGTAACAGGAAGCCAGGGTACCCTTATTCAACTCGGATGATATTTTCTACTGGGTTCAGTGTCTTTATAGTGTACACAGCCATTGTGTACACAGGGCCTATGGTTTTATACTCATTATTTGAGAAGAATTGCTTTACCACCAGATCCATACAAGCCAGCTGCTCGAACCAGCGCCAATATTATCAATGTAGGTTGTGGCACCCCCCGCTTTGACCACTAGGCAACAATATTTACTGTATAACTGGTTGAAACCAGTTACAACCATTGTTCTAATGAAAGGGGAACTACAGGAACGATTTTCTGAGTACTGTACTGTACTGTTGGGGAGACCTCAAGAGTCAAAATGGAACTCCAAAATCCAATATCAGCAAGGTTTTACTTGTTGAGAGAGAAAAATGTCTAAAGTCACAGCTTTAGGCTTTTTAGGCCATGCAACACCTCCAGTAGAATCTGAATGGCTCTAATAAAGTATCGGTTAAGGATTAGAGTTGTTTTTTTCTTTGAGAAAACACCTTCAATGACAGGTTTGCACCTAAAGCCCTGTAATTGAAAAGCAAGCATCTTAACAACCAAGGTACAACTCTACACCAAGTATTAATCATTTTAATGTTAAAACGTTCAATCTAGTTTAATTATTTTGCATCTTCAACCTTACAGCACCAAATCTGTATCCCGGTTTCGTACACCCTTTGTAGTTGAGCAACACAAGTTGCTATGCCAACTGAGGGAAACATTAGAAGCAGAATGTTCGGAAGCATGGCTTGAGTTTCTTGAGTAAGTGGTTTTCCTTTAATGCCATTAAGTTATTGTGGATTGTATGTTAATTGTAGTTTAATGTATGTTTTTCAATTGTATTTATTTATTAGTCAAACTATACATGATTGGCCTTCAGTTTTCTTTAGTGTGTTTGTTTTAAAATGCCCTGAATTTTGAAATTCACTCCCTGCACACATTAAAAACTGTTTTTCTGTTGCTTCATTTTAAAAATTACTTGTAACTCACCTTTTCCATCATTACCAAGCACAGCACATTTGATGATATACCTCTGTCATATAATTGATGCCTCATAAATTCCACTATTATTAATCTGTTTAATATGTTTATTGTTAATTGTATTGTAATGTGTATGGTTTAACTGTAGATTTCTATCGTATTCTATTTGTAGAATGAATTCTATAACTATATGATTAGTATATTGGTTAATTGAGTTGATTCTATTTCAGAGAATTTGGTGAGAATTATTTTTCGTACCAAAAGGCAGTGCAACATCTGGCAACCTTGGACTGTTTGTTATCATTGGCGAATATCTCAAGAAACGATGACTATTGCAGGTTAGTTACTGAGTATGCTGCACTTGTGCAGATATAGTCTATGCTGTGGTGGTCAAATTCCTCAGTATAATGGAATGTGTTAAGCGTTCCAACTACCCATTCAACTTATCAGGGAGTTGGGACCTACCTTTTGACAGATGACCAATGGTTGGTAGCAGCTTCTCCGATAATGGATAATGGATAAAGAAATATTAACCTTGTTTTGCAGTATACTTGCGCTCTTATCATATAACATCACCTTTATGTACATGGTTTTTAAATGTTGGCCTAATGCTGGATGTGGCAGGAAATTGACTTTAATCCAGCATGTTAATTGTAAAGTAAACAAACAACCAAAAACATAAATTGTTCTATTTTAATATTATTAGGCCTGAAATAATAGATGATGAAGCATATTTAGAGATCAAAGGAGGATGCCACCCAGTTGTCAGTACCTTACTAGACCAAGATGAACAGTATGTACCAAATGACACATTAATGCAGGTAGGTTTTTTTTCTGTCAGATTTCAAACAATTCACAGAGTAAGAACATAAGGAAAGTTCTATATGACAATATTTACAAAAAAAATTCACACCAATGAAACAGATATTACTAAGAATCAGTTTCATGTTCTCATTTAATGGGGTGCCGCATACGATTGGATATAAACAAATTTACGTTGGTACAGTTCACCCAGAATGCAAGTTGGTGTTCTGTTTTTTTCTGTGGAGACTTCTGTCTTGTCTTTCTAGTATCTTTGTTAATGATCATTCTACTTAAAGAGGCTGTCGGGATGACAGACAGAGCCATGGAAGAGCTAAGTATTGACCTTGAACTGGTGACTTGCTCTCCAAACACAAACAAATTAAATACAAACATGTATTTTTGCATCATATGATATGTATGTTCTCTGTAGGCTAAAGCTGAGCGCTGTATGCTGATCACTGGGCCCAACATGGGTGGGAAGAGCTCGTACATTCGGCAGGTCGCACTCATCGCTATTATGGCTCAGATCGGTTGCTATGTTCCTGCAGAGAAAGTAAAAATGTCTCCAATTGATGCAATCTATACAAGGTAGGCATGTGGTGGGATGTAAACATTCCGTATATATGCATGCTCAAATGTATGGTATGTAATCTGTAAAATGTGCATCTGCTACTTAAGTCACTTTAATGGAATATTGATTACCTATTATTTGATTATACATCATGCATTACTTAAGTCTTTGGTTTAAATTCAGATAGGAATAATAAATTTTTCTCAAAGCAACATAAATCATTTTAATTTAGAGTGCTAGAAATTTTGAATTTATGTAGGTTTTATTTTGGAAAATATTTAAGTAAGTAGTTGAAATGGAAAATGTGTTCTATATGTACTAGACTCCTTCATATGCCTTGTTATGGGGCAAGGATTTAGTTGTTAATTCTTGAGAAATAACATGACAACATATTTGCAAGGTTTGAGACTGGGGTTAAGCTTACAGTATATGCTTATCCACAATCCTTTTTGTGTGTTCAGTGTACCTTATTTTATCCAAATACTATTAATCATTTAATCTTTTATCATTACCATTAAATGATTTCAGAATGGGTGCTTCAGACGACATTTGCAGCCGCCGGTCGACCTTCATGGTTGAGCTTCAGGAGGCCTCGGATATCCTTCAAGAAGCCACGCCACGTTCACTTGTCATCATGGATGAGCTGGGGCGTGGCACAAGTACAAATGATGGAGTGGCCATAGCGTTTGCGACAGCACAACATTTAATTACTGCTGTAAGTAGAGTACAAAATTGTACATTAAAACATTCGAATGAGTAATAAAATAATTATGATACACAAAAAAAATATATTGTATTTTATTTTATTTCATTTCACATCTAACACCAGGGAGCCCACCACTTACAGGATGGAATAACATAAGACAAAGTGAACAATAAAGAACAATAAAATTACAACACACACAAAAAACAATGATACCAAAAAAGTGTTTAATGATTAAATACTATAATAATTATATTTGTCTTAATTGATTATTGTTGTGTGATATTGTTTTTATTTTATTGAACTTCATGTAATGTAGGTGAAGAGTTTGACACTGTTTGTAACACATTATGCATCGATATCCGAGTTGGAAACACTATATAGGGGAACAGCAGTCAACTATCACATGTCATTCTTAATAAGCGATAACACACAAGGTAATATACAGTATTATCTATATCATATTATGCCGTTTCTAGGACATTTGTAATATGAGTTTTACATGCTGAATTGCTTTTGTTCTGTAAAGTGATATTTTCATTTTGGGGATTCATCCTTTTTATATATTTTACTTAAGTCTCTTTACAGGGTCAAGGGAATGGAGTTAGCATAATTTGAGAGAAAAAATATCCGCATCATAGTTATTATCAGAATTGTTGTTATATTTGACAGAAAAGCAATCATCAGGGAACGAAGTGATCACATTCCTGTATCAGTTGACTAAGGGGTCAGCTTGTAGAAGTTACGGATTGAATGTTGCCAGACTAGCAGACATCCCGCAGAGTTTGCTCGAGAAAGCATCAATTAAGTCCAAAGAAATGGAAACAGCAATGGATTCAAAAAGGTAGGTTACTATATAACTAATAAATTATAAAATTAAAAAAAATAGCTTTTTTTTTTTACATGTTTGTGTCAGGAGTATATCATAGGAGTGGTGTTTTTACGCTACCCGATGTGTTGTCGTACTGAATACTAAGTACGTTCCCGAATTCGCAAGTTATCCAGTTGGTAATCAAATCCACAACCTCTCTTTCTCTTTTTTTTTTTTTTTTGGTAGGTGTATTATATATTTTCAACCATCCTATTAAATGGCCAGTCCACTAATGTTGTTGATTTAGTTCTTAATTTTTCTTAATTGTCTTGCGTATAAACATAGCCACAAATTAAATTGTTACTTGCTGTAATAAAATATCATTTACAACATCACAAACACATGCAGATCATATTTAGTTGATAAAAGATTTGACTGATAGGAGTTACAGATTAATGTTGCTGGACCAACTAGCAATACTTAGTTTACTCCACCGTTCCAAATTCATATTACAGTATAATAAATTCAATCACTAAAGTGCTGTACAACCAATGCATAATATCAAACACTTAATACGTTCACTGCCAGGGATGCGAGTTCACATCCAACAGGGTTCATTGGGGTGCTGAGGACGCAAGTTCACTTCCACACCTAACATACCACTGTTGTATTGCGCGTAAACTTGCCGACAGTGGTCGCCAGAACACAGATTCCCGCCCTGGAGGTTCAGGGAAGCAACCGGAAGTAATGATCTAAAAATAACTACAGTATGTTTGTCTGTGTTTCACTTCAGTTGAATGGAAATTATTTTCATTATGGTGGCGCCCTTTATGCCTTGACATATGGGATGGGATTAGGAAAAAAGGCTTGGCAGTCAACATTTTAAGTTTGATTTCATGTGAATGTTTAATTTTTTTGCTCACAGGCCAAGGATTTCAAATAGCTAATGTTGTAATATTTTTTAACATAAGCAGCACACACAAAAATGAATGAATTAAAAATGTCCACCTTTTTTTCTTCAGCTCATTACTCAAGGAATTCCAAACACTGTGGTGCACACCAGTGAAGTAGCACTAACACAAAAAGAAGAGTAGACTGCTGTCTAGGTTATCTCACAGATCTCATCTTATTGGTTGTTTTGAAGGGAGGTGTTGTGGGATTGTCATATCACAGTGTTGGCTAACCATGGTATCCATTTTTATAAGAGTGTGCACACTGCGCAGAGAGTGCAATGTGATTTGGCATGCCTAACAGATCATTTGTAATGACAATCTACGGAGGACGTCGTGTCATTGAACGCTCTTGAGTGGGAATGGATTTGTCAAAGGTCAGTTGTAGCCTGTCGTACAACACAGTGTGTGCCCAGCTTGAAAGGTTAACAAATGGTTTTAGGAAGCTTTAAAATATATTTTTATATTTTAATAGGAAAATCCAGAAGTTACTTGTTTAATGAAGAAAAGAATGTATAGTATTTAAATAATATTGGTTAGTTTAAATTTGCTTGAGTATTAGTTTTACAATTTTTAAGTGTGGAAGGATTATGATAATCCCGCTTGGCTTGTTGAAATCATGCTTTGTTTTACTGTAATTAATATTAGAATGTTTTATTTGATCCTAGAGCATCTTGTTTGCAGCGGTGGCTTCAGGCATTTGCTGACAAGGGGTCCAAAACAAAGGGCCAACTAGAGCCCTGGTCAGGGTCCCAGAATAAAAAATCCCTGGTAGGGTGTCCGGGGAGAGTTTTTATGGCTTAGTATGGCCCCAAATTGTGCTTTTAGACCACAATATTAGGGATTGGCAATCAAATAACATTATTTGAATAGGCAAATCATTTTTGATTGAACGACGGAGATGAAACAGAGCAATTAGCTTAAGAATGTGCCACTATTGTATACTTTAGTACAGAAAAGACGCAATAATTTATAGTAAAGTAGAATTCCAGTAATTGACCTATCATTTAAGAGCTTATAATGTGAAAAATATGAATATAATAAAAATTCAAATGCTTATTTTAATCACTGATTTTGGCATGGCTAACCCCTAATATGACATGAGTGGACAGAAGTGAAATTAATGTTTTCTTTTTTTTTCATAAACTATGGTCTCATTATAACCATAATATTTGAACCCTGTCCTCATAAATTGAGAGGAAGTTATGCAATCTGTGGTAAATTATAGGGGAATATCTGAAAACTAGTCTAACTTTCAGTGAAACACAAATCTAAATAGATTTCAATGACTAAAGAAATCCTTAGATTGTCAGGTAATTTAAGGATCTTTGCAAAGAATATAGAATAGGTTATTTATATATCTGTTATATAGTGTAGACATTTTATTTGAATAACTTACTTAAATATAGTAAACAAAGAATTAACTTTATTGCATTTGGCTTTTTGACTTGAACACATTCCTTTCACATTTCACAGTCTGCCATCCTTACCAATACATAAAACTTTGAGAGGTTCAATAAACATTTTCCTCACTACAGTACAGTATTGTTGTTTCAATTTGTTGCATGTAGTCAGTAGATGGTAAGGGGTCGTTCACTATTATCAACATTTTCGCAACTGTACAAACAGTACTCTTTTTTTGGTACCCCTCCCTCCCCTCTGAAAGTGTACATAAAAAATGTTGATTTTGCAAATCCATTCTCAGTTTTTTGTGAAGACAACTAAAGTACTGTATTTGGTTACATAAAAATGTATATTATATTCATGATTGCATTATAATTGGTCATAATAAAAATCTATTTTAAATATTGCATGTTATTTTGCATCAACATTTTCATGCATATGGAAAAGTGTAAAAATTTGTCTAACCCCAGCATACTGTTTGTACATTTGTGAAAATACTAATAATTGTGAACGACCTCTAAGTAAAATCTGAATCATTATTATCGGTCTTGTTAGAGGTTGATATACGAATGGAGCAATTTATGTTAGTCTTATAGTGCATCTGGCCAAGGGCTATCTGTGCTTAAAACTCGCATTACACAGTTATGGAATAAGACATACTGTACTTGTACTCAATTCACACAAAACAAAATTTTACACTGGACGTTTGCTAAATGCTACGAGGTCTTCCTGAGATATTTATACCACATTTATAGCTCCATGTTTCGACTGAAACCATCGTTGTCACACAGATGAATTAAAATCTTTCTGAAAGTGGGTACATTTATGTACAATGTGTGATACGCAGTGAAAAGGTATGCTACACTGCACAGGTCCATGCTAAATATCTTGGGAACAGGCCTCTGCAATAATAATGGTCTTTATGAATATTCCACAGTATCTTACATGGGATGTGTTCACATGGACAGAGTGTAGGAGAGGTGTGCTAAATTTTCCCTAGTATTGGATGCATTTTTGTGAAATTAATGTTTTCTTCTTCTTTCATAAACTATGGTCTCAGTATAACCATAATATTTGAACCCTGTCCTCATAAATTGAGAGGAAGTTATGCAATCTGTGGTAAATTGTGAATCATCTACTTCTCCAGTCTCCAGGAAGTACAGTATTTAATGTTGCAGCATTGAAAACATACAGTACTTCTCTTATTCTCCAGTGAACCATTGGCCAAGCTCGAACCCAAAACTTTTGATTACATTTGACACATCAGAAACCAGACAACTTTTGAGAAATAGGTTTTGTTGAATATTTATTACATACAAATAGAATATGTATACATGTGTACTGTTTATAATTAAATATAACATTCAAAAAGAAATATTTGTATAAAGTTTTCTCAATAGTACCCTAAAGTTGCTTGCTCAATACAAGAGCAGTGTTGCTAAAGTAATAAAAATGGGAGTTCTGGCTGAATAATACATTTAAATGATGAATTTATAATAGAATAATAATATTTATACAGTGCATACATTGCACTCATTACCACTATATGCTTGTGACCCATGTCATCATCAAAATCATTCACACCTTTTCCTCTTTTTTTTCACCTTTCATTTTACTAATACACTTTCCACAGTTATCAGTATAAACAAATCTGTAAAAGATTCATCTTTACTTTTTGAATACTAGTTCATGTATGTACAATGCTGAGTATATTGCAAAAAATGAATATCATAAGATTCATATTGAACTACATAGTGCTTTTAACTACATTAACAGTATAGCATTTTGAATCTGTCCCTTACCCCTAGGAGTTTCCTAGGTAATGGGAAGGCACCCTAACCAGACAAGTCCCAATCAGTATGGGACATCAAACATGCAGCTTTAGATTCTTGAATATATTATATTGGTTCTACTAGCTTCCCAAGTCTGCCTGTCATGTAAGTGGTAGGCTGAAGTCGTCCTCATAGAGACCCTGTCTTACGCCTTCCACAACAGTATCATGGAGACCGACATCCATGGCTAGCCTTAGAAATGGGTCCGTCTCAAATACCATAGTCGGTTGATGTGTTGATCTGTGAAAAATTGGTAATGTTTTTATTTAAAAATTTACAAACCTATAAATGTTTTAGTAAGAAAATGTAAAATAATAATAGAGCATCATCTTCATCTATCTTGTATAACCCTGGTCATTAAAAATAATGAACTTGTTTCTTGATTTCCACCAGAGTGACTTGCAAATCTTTTTTCACAAGTATTTGGGAACGTACTGAGTATTCGGTACAAAAACATGTCAGGTAGGGCAAAACATCACTCCTATAACTTGTAATTTATTTGCCAGATGAAAAGACTAACTGTAAAATGCTTAAGGACTCTGCAAGGGTAGATAAAGGGTGTATCTGTCTAGGGTGCTCACTGAGGAGCAAAGCGTTGATCGAGGGCAATTGTCAGAGCGTGATGGTTTGGAAATCGGTGACTCCTTCTCTCCAAGTTCATAGAAGCTCCAGAATTTCATTCATTCAAAGTAAACAATTTCACGTTTGGTTAGAATTTGTTTAGCCTGAATATTATGAGAAGTTCCTCTTTGGCAACCCCTGGATGGGGTTTCATAGTAATGCCGGCAGATATAAGAACAGTCATTCAAAATGGATAGATACTATGTGAATAAATTGCATCGCTCAAGGATGCAAGCAAAATGAACAGTACATGGAAGCTGGCAAATCTGCAGGAATTTAAAGTGTTGGTTCGCTTCCTGAGCTCTGATTGGTTGTGCATTAGAAACAGTTCGGACTACTGATTTCACTGAAGCGAAAAACTCCGATAGAAACGTTAATGCACATGCAAATGAACTTTCGATTTCGCACGCATAAATTCGTCTAGTGAAGAGCAGGCTTAAATGTTGACCCCTGGATGATAGCTTGAATCACATCTAATATTAGCAATTGCATACATGCGCTGCGCAATATCCACTAAATGTAAATTATTATTAAGTACACCCACTACATAGCTTATGATACACACAAAAGAATTTTACTCACACTGGCTCTTGGTCAATATCATCTAAGGAGCTGAAAAAATACAATAAATGTTATTGTAATTTAATATAATGTACTTCAGATTTGTTGATCTATACAATGTAATAAAGGATATTCTTTACATTAAAGTGTTATTTAAATCATCAGCTAACTAGAACCTTGTGTCAATAATTCAAAAATAAAAAATGTATCTTTTCACGTATTTGAATTGCTTTCCCCAATCGTATGTCTCGTGCAACCATTCTTGTTTAATCAGAAAACTGAAAACTGTAAATTTTTTACAGTCCACAATACATGGTATCTACAGAATACGCTGTAACAAAAAGGCAATTACTAATAATCAAATCTATATTATTAGTAGTCCCTACTGAGTGAAGTAAAAAAAAAAAAAATCCACAACACAAATTACAGAGTTTGTTAAAAAGAGCAATGCAAAAGTAGACTCATTCACTCACAAGAAATGCAAAGGCAATATTTTTCTTAACTGCCTTTGTGTCCCCCTCTCAGGTTTCTCGGAAGTAATGCCTCCTTCATTCCAAAACTTTCAAATTTTGTAAGAAAGACTTGTTAAACATGTTCCTTTAATTACTTCAAAATGTTTGTTTATTGATGAATTGTTTATTACCAAGGATAAGATGTAGGTTATGTTCAGGCTTTTGTCCATTCCCTATCTGGATAAACCATTACTTTTTTTTTGCTGTATATTACCAAATACTGTCTTATTATTAAGGGGTGTCAATCACAAATTGATAGAGCTAAGAAACTTATCTAAAAACAAAACCACATGGATGTTACTAGTTTACTGTAAATTGGAATCAATTATTGTAAAAATTATGGTAATTAAAAAAAAACCCAATATAAACAATAACGACACTGTTATCACAAATACACTTCACCTACATATTTCATGCCTCTGTTTAAGCTATATTTAGGATTACACAAGCATGCATATTAACATAAAAAAAAAAACCAAACAAATAAAATATAATTTACAGTATATTATTACTGGACTATAAAAAGATAAGATCTAATTATAATTCATTGACAATATTATTCATTCCAATATTTTCATTATGTGTGAAAATTATCAATCGGTGTGTTTTATTACTTTGCATATGAACTTGCAACGCATTTATAAATTCTTCTACTCTTCGTTTATTAATCGCATCATAGTTTGACTGTTCCGATCGCATCAAACTGCAGTCTAAGACATACACCCAGAAACTCGGATCCACACAATCCCAAACAAATTCCACTACCCTCTTCTGACTATCATCCCACTTGAAAGTCTACACTAGAATAGCCTTCAAGTAGCCAATCGAGTGTCCCCATCTCCTTTCTATATTAAAGTCTAGTTATGAATCGCTCACCCTATCAGCAACAGTCGCCGATAGTTGTCGGGAAGGTTGAACTGGTTCAACTTTGCTGATCGTGTTGCAGACGAATTAGGGTGCCTCTCCGATTGCATCAGAGCAGCTAGCAGTGCGCTCTGATTTTTCTGCAACGCAATCGCCAAAGTTGGACCAGGTTCAACCTTCCCAACAACTGTCGGCGACTGTCGCCGATAAGGATTTTGTTCTTGTTAGGATTTATTTATTTTCGTTCATACAGTGCATAGAGAAAATGTAATATACACCATAAAAATGTACAACCTAACCATTAACTCAAAATAATGTACGTGTTGGGTTTCCATGATGTAACTCACTAATTATCACTTAGAATTATTTTAATACAAAAATATTCCTTATAATGTGCAGATCTGATTTGTTATTAACATGCATTCCCCTAGGTGATTATACAGAGGTTATTTATATGTATGTGTGGGTGATTGTATGTATATCCTGGTGGGTGCATGTAGTGATAGTGTGTAGAGTACGTGTGTATGTGTAAGGCATTAACTGTGCTTGAGTAACTCTAAAACCTGGTGCTATGTTAAAATGAATGTGTTTGATATCTAAACCAAAATAGAACTCTAGAACCATGTTAATATCAGTATTAGAACAGGCCTGGTTAGGATGATTGCCTTTCAATCCCGGGTCCCATATTTCAGTAGAGCATATTGAATGTATGAATTGACATGTAAAATTGATTGTCACTTGCAAAGAGAGTGATATATTCATTATTGTCAATGGGCTAGCCCATGTGTGAAAGATCTACATTAGAAAAAGAGAGGATAAGGTTAGGTGATGATCGGGTTGGGCAGGGATGAGGTTTAGTAGGGGTTGGATAAGCTAAGTCCAAACCTGAAAAATTGACATTTATTACAAGCAAGATGGTACTGATATGGAAGAATCGTTTTTTAAACACTGGCCATGTGCATATTAATGGCCAAACGTGTTCATGCCTTAAAACTCAAGAGGAAAAACAATTTCTAATTAGTGTTAATAAATCTAAACGTATATAACACTTAATATAAAGCATTAATATACATAGCTGAACAAATAACTGTACAATTATATAATTTTAAAAATCAACAGAATGATAACTAACAAAATAAGAAGCAGCATATGTGTGGGTATGTTAAGAATATACTTTTTTCTACTGTGAATTCTAACATCTACACAAGGCCTTACCCAACCATCCTGGTAGTGCTGCAAGAAGTAAGGAAATTATAGCCATTAGTTAAAATTTAAGAAGAAAAAGCAAAGACAACAAACACCAGCACTAAGAAAAACAACAAATTTATAATGATGAAGATAGCAAAAAAGGGACTCTCACTTTTTGGCAAAACATATATAATGTCTATGCAGGTTTTTGTATGATCGGAAAGAAATGCAAGAGGGCGTCCAAACTTAGAATAACGTTCTGCCGGCCCTGAGCAATATCAAGAAAGTTAATAGTAGGCATGCACAAATTATCTGGATGGCCACATTAGCTTGTCAGCCTTGACATATTGATTTTATATTCCAAGTTATCCTCAACAAGGTCATTTAAGAATGAGCTTACTCTAAAGTGTTGATCCTGAATATTAATTGGAAATATTTTTGCAATATTTGCTAAGGTAGTCAGGTAACACAGGCAAGCATCATAGCACATAGACCTTGTAGCACATAGACCTTATAGTTAAAGACATATTTTTTGTTTGAGTACAACACTTAAATTTATTCACACAAATGTTCAAAGACTACATAGAACAGACAGCTGCTAATGGATTGATGTTGAAACCACAAATTAACTATTGAATTCATATAATCCATTACCAGCTAGTTATTGATTTTATTGGTTATATGGGATGTTGCAAAAGATATTCATCTATTAGGGAGCTTTCAATTGATCGACGTGGTAGAATCTAGAATGGAATGATGTCACTAATATTTCGCGCAAATAAGAACGTCAAGTTCTCCCCGTGGTGTGGATTCTAGGACAGAGTTTGACCCAATCGACGTTGTGCCGTGAACATAGGACGGTCACACACGAGTGAATCCGTTCTAGAGTAGAGTCGTCACGCAAATCAGAAGCTCCCTATTGCGGTATCCTGGCAGCTATGTTTTGCGAGGCAATGTTAATCTGATGTTTTATAGCTAGCTGGTTACAAGGAGTTGGATGAAGTGTATGAATGAAAAGTGTAAAAGTGCTACATTCGATCTGCCTGACAATGCAGTGTAAGCCACACTACATATCATACCTTTACACTTAAATAATTAACTTACTCGTAGCTGGCCGTCTTGAAATTTTTCACTCTTAAAAAGGTGAGAAGTGATCGAGGGACCAGTTCCCTATCCAAAATACCCT